TCGCATTCGAAAGGAGTTTAGTGCACACTCACCGTTAGAGTCTGTCCTCTCGGGGGGGGAGGGGGGGCTCGAACAGTCGTCCATGTAAGCTTTTGCCGAGCAGTCTATTTCTGGAAGGATTTATGGAGGGATGAGTAAAGATTACCTGGAGATGGCCTGACTAGCCTTCGGGCGCGATGCACCTCACAACGTTTTGGCTGTGGTACCTGCGCCTATCTCGCGGCAGGGGGATCGTGCCGAAGGATTCGCCTCCTTGTGGTCTGGACCTTTGCGGTGATTTTCTTTTGGCCCAAACAGCCGGAGGAGACACGACGAGAGTGAGGGAGAACGTTCGCAAAACTCGAGCAAACTCTTATTGTGTCGTCCATTGGCTGACGAGACATGGAATTTGCTCAGAGGCACATGCTTTGCCGAGAAAGGGAGTTGAGCCGATCTCTAGACTTTGCACCCCCTCTATCTTAGCCAGACTGAATCCTTCCGTCGATGCAGCACCGGCCAGGATTCTTTCGCAATTACAGGAGACACAGTGATGGTCTAGGCTATTCGGTCTCTCGGCTGGAGTTTTGCCGTCAGTGAAAGGATCAATCCCTCTCAGATGAGAGAGGCGAGGGGTCGAAACAGAACATGGGCAGCCATTGTCAATCGCTTTTTCGAGTTGTAGGAACTTGGTATCGATTCGTATAAGTTATCGTAGCTCAGATTTCTCTTCTTCTTCTGAGGACTGAGTGACAGGCCTCTTCATACTGTCTCTCCCGACCGGCAGTTGCCTCTCTATTGGCTTCCTTCTCACCTCTCTTGATCTCACTGGCAGATCATTGCCCGGCCCTATACTTTTTGCCAGCCTTGGCCATCACGTTCTTTGTTTTCTTTTTTTTCCCCTCTTTGATTCAAAACATGAGGTGTCAGAATACTGTCACCTCCATCGGGGGCTGGCTGGGCTTCTTCGCCGCCACCACATCGGCCATTGAGACCGGCTTTGATTCCGAAACCTTCCCTCATCCCGCCCTCGTTCCCAAGCCCACATTTCGCGACCTCTGTCCCGTTCCTTGTGCAGATGTCGGCCCAACGGGTTTCTCCTGGACCGTCGTGCCCTCCATCGCGGCTCTCAAGCAGTGTAACGAGACGCTGCTCTTTGAGGGCAACCTGAACCGCCCCATCACCAGCACTGCCAAGGAGAACATAGTTCGCGCCTGCAGCGTCCCCGAGTCATCCTCCAGCACGGCCCTTGCCAGCGAACAAAAGTTCGGCCCGCCGTGCCTGGCGTCGGCGGAGCTAAGGCCCACCAAGGTTGACGTCGAGGTTGGCTGGTGGCCAGAGACGGTCGATGGCAGCAAGTCATCCGATATCATCGACGCCACGCTCCAGCTGCAGAAGAATATTATTGAGGACCCCAACTGCGAGTCGACGGCCCTGTTCGCCAAGTCGGGCGATGCTGTTGTCGGGCTGTGGGTCGGCGAGCAGATTCGCAAGACTTCGGCCAAGGACCTTCTCGAGCGTTTCGTCGCCTTGGTCGAGTCCAAGGAGGGCTCGCTGCCTAAGAAGGCAGCTGCCCAGGTCTGCGGCTCGAGTGACGGCCTGCCTTGGAGCCAGAGCTTCGGCATCTACTACGACGCGACCGGCAAGATCAGCGATGCTTTTAGCGCTGTGCAGGGCTGGTCCAAGATGACTTGTCTCGATCTTCCAGGCGGCGGTGAAACCTGGAAGGGAGAGGAGCTCAGCGTCATCCCAGGTCTCGCACTGACTCTGGGTGCCGATGCCGTTCTGCCCAAGCACAAAAACTCGTCAGTCTCTGTCACGGCTTCGAGTGTCACGAAACCCACGTACAGCGTCACCTCGCTGGCTCTGGGCCCTTCGACCTCTGTCGAGGCTCGGGCTTACGACCCTTATGATGACCTCAACGATGGCCTCGAGGACCGCGACGAGCAGTGCCGGACCGCCAGGATCGAAGCCACCGATAGCTGCTACAGCCTCGCAACGCAGAAGTGCGGCATCACACTCGAGGCTCTCTACAAGTACAACGGCGGGGACTCCTCCTTCTGCACCAACCTCGAGGTCGGCACCTCGCTCTGCTGCTCGGGCGGTGATAAGCCCGAGGAAGAGGCCCCCTCCGCATCTTCCGAAGTGCGCAGGGCGGCTGCTGAATGCAAGTATCTGGTCGTGGCCAAGGACAACACGTGCCCTCAGCTGGCAGCTGATTGCGGCATCTCGACAACCAAGTTCTACGAGCTCAACGGAGGCGGCAGCAGCGCCTTCTGCAACAACCTCAAGATCAGGTCGGCCGTCTGCTGCACTGCCGGCGACAAGCCGAACCTCAAACCCAAGGACAACAGTGACGGGTCCTGCGCCGTGTACACAATCAAGAAGGGCGACGGCTGCTTCGACATCGCTGATCCCAACGGCTTGACGGTCACGGAGCTGCACAACCTCAACACGGGCAAGACCTGGGGCTGGGGCGACTGTGATCTGCTCAAGGAGAACATGAAGATCTGTCTCAGCGGCGGCACGCCGCCCATGCCGGCGCCGATCGAGAACGCCATCTGCGGCCCTCAGAAGCCCGGCACCGAGAGGCCCTCGAGCGGCAACCTCACCATGCTCAACCCATGCCCGCTTAACGTCTGCTGCAACATCTGGGGCCAGTGCGGCACGACCAAGGACTTCTGCGTCGACACAACCGTCAACAACACGCCCGGCACGGCCAAGAAGGACACATACGGTTGCATCTCCAACTGCGGCATGGACATTGTCAACAACAAGGTCGGCCCCGACAAATTCAGGCAGCTCGGCTACTTTGAGGGTTGGAACATGGACCGCCCCTGTCTCAACATGGATGTCGAGTCGATCTCCAAGGATAATGACATTATTCATTTTGCCTTTGGCATGATCGCCGAGGACTTTTCCATCTACATAGGCCCTAAGGAGAAGGAACAGTTTGACAAGTTTGTCAAGCTGAAGTCCAGCTTCAAGAAGGTTCTTTCTTTTGGTGGCTGGGCCTTCTCGAACGAGCCGGCGACGAGTCACATCTTCCGCAATGCCGTCAAGCCGGCCAACTCGCTGAGGTTCGCCACGAATGTCATCAACTTCATCGCCGCCAACGGCCTCGACGGCGTCGATTTTGACTGGGAGTACCCTGGTGCCACCGACATCGATGGTAGCCAGCCCGGCTCGCCCGACGACGGGAAGAACTACCTCGCTTTCCTGGGCATCGTCAAGCGCCGCATGCCTCAAGGCAAGACTATTGCCATCGCTGCCCCGGCTTCCTACTGGTATCTCAAGGCGTTCCCCATCGCCGAGATCTCCAAGATTGTCGACTACATCGTGTACATGACCTACGATCTCCACGGCCAGTGGGATGTCGGCAACAAGTGGGCTTCGTGAGTCTTTCTCCCCTCTCTCTCTCTCTCTTTTCTGCCGCTTGGGTAGACACTAACAGATCCAGTGAGGGCTGTCCGGGCGCCAACTGCCTTCGTTCACACGTCAACATCACGCTAACGCAGAGTGCCCTGTCTATGGTGACCAAGGCCGGCGTGCCGTCCAACAAGCTCATGGTCGGTGTCAGCAGCTACGGCCGCAGCTTCAAGATGGCCCAGATGGGCTGTGAGGGCCCCAACTGCTTCTTCCTGGGCGGCCGCAACCAGTCGCCCGCCAAGGCTGGTACCTGCACTGGCACGCCCGGCTACATTGCCGACGCCGAGATGATGCAGATTGCGCTCAACGCCCGGTCTGGGTTCGGCAGCTCCAAGGTGACGGCCTACCACGACGAATCGTCCGACTCTGACATTTTCATCTACGACGACGTCGAGTGGGTGTCGTGGATGAGCCCCAAGACAAAGGACAGCCGCAAGCTCATCTACCGCCTCGCCAACATGGCCGGCACCAGCGACTGGGCCATCGACCTGGGCGTCGACGTTGGCCGCTCCAACTCGGAGAAGGCCCTGGACGACTGGCCGGAGCTAGACCTCAGCAGCAACTGCCCGCTCGACTCGAGCTACGACACGCTCGACGCCCTCGATGCTGTCGCTGGGGGCATGGATCCCGAGTGCGCCGCCATGCTCGCCATTGACACGCTCAAGAAGATGCTCGCCAACTCGCTCAACGGCTACGACGCCGCCGCCAGCGGGTACGACGGCCTCTTTGACTTTTACAAGGACTACATCATCAAGTCGCTCGACGGCCGCCTCGAGCGCCTCATGACCTTTGAGAAGCAGTACGGCGGCCGC